CACCACCACATAATAACACTGAAAATAAAGAGTCCAAAAATATTACAAATACTATACACCTAGGTAGCAATTGATTGTAAAGTTCCGAAAAGGTTCCGTCTGTTCGAATTCTGCCCTCAATTGTCAGTAATTGTTAAAATATCAACTACAAAATACTACTGAGTGTTTTAGATTGTCTTTGGGTTGGTGAAAATGTTAACCATTGGAAAAGTTAATATTTGTAAACTTGATTTTACAGAGGGGAATTTTCTGTGAGGGAAGTGTGTCTATTTCAAATGTAAAATCACTGAACCTAATATTTCTATGGACCAAAAGACAAATGGCAATTGAAAATTTTATTTTGAATATTTATGAAATGAGAGAAAAATTTCAATTCGAAGCTCAATGCAGTCAGAGAGAAGTCTCAATAATACTTCAATAAAACTGATTGGTATAACAATAGTATGATATTTTGATGCACATTTTTTAGACCAACAATTTAGTTTTTTTTAAATCAAATTAATCTAAATTCTAATCAAGACAATAAAAAAATCACATTTATATTAGTGTTATAATTTTTTTTAGTCAGCACATCAAAAGTTTTCAAGAGATAAAAAATAAATTATGTATTAGAGTAATCAATTAAAGGAAATAGATTGAAATCGATGTTTTAATTAAAACCATTGAGTTGGAAATATCATACTGGTATCACATGTTACCAGACTTAACAGAATAAGTCAGTCAAGAGAAACTAATATTAAATAACTAATCAATTGTTGCTATTTTGTTGAAACTAATGTTAAATAACCACGGTAATCTATGTTAATCAAATACCGGCAGGGAATTATATGAAGCTGCAAAGCTGAATTTTCAGACATTTTTCACTCATACATCCATAACAGTTCAAAATAATTTTTTTTTTACCAATTTCCTAGTTGTCCTAATGATGGATTACATAACTATTATCTAATTGAATGATGCTTCATAAAGATTTCTCCTCATCATGTGCCAAATTTATAGAAACTGCATTAATGAGAAATCAAGTTTGTAATAAAGCAGATAACACTCTCTTTAGTCTACAGAATGACTAGAGCAGAGAACACCCTCTTTAGTCTACAGAATGACTAGAGCAGAGAACACCCTCTATAGTCTACAGAATGACTAGAGCAGAGAACACCCTCTATAGTCTACAGAATGACTAGAGCAGAGAACACCCTCTTTAGTCTACAGAATGACTAGAGCAGAGAACACCCTCTATAGTCTACAGAATGACTAGAGCAGAGAACACCCTCTATAGTCTACAGAATGACTAGAGCAAAGAACACCCTCTATAGTCTACAGAATGACTAGAGCAGAGAACACCCTCTATAGTCTACAGAATGACTAGAGCAGAGAACACCCTCTATAGTCTACAGAATGACTAGAGCAGAGTACACCCTCTATAGTCTACAGAATGACTAGAGCAGAGAACACCCTCTTTAGTCTACAGAATGACTAGAGCAAAGAACACCCTCTTTAGTCTACAGAATGACTAGAGCAAAGAACACCCTCTTTAGTCTACAGAATGACTAGAGCAAAGAGCACCCTCTTTAGTCTACAGAATGACAAGAGCAGAGAACACCCTCTATAGTCTACAGAATGACTAGACCAGATAACACCCTGTTTACTCTACAGAATGACTAAAGCAGATAACACCCCATCAACATCAATTGTACAGAATGATAAAAGCAAATAACACCCCCTCAATTTTACCAAATGACAGATGTTTTAAGCTTTAGTGAATGAATTAATCAATTATCAAGTATTTTATACTTACAAATCTTTCTTCCTTTCCTTTTAAATTTTTACAAAATTTCCTGAATAGGTTTTCTGTGTCGTCTCTTGAAGGACTTTTACCATCATACTTTTCCTCAAATAATGTTTTAAATTTCTTTAATGTCTTTAAACATACTGAAACAAATACAGAAAATTAAATTTACCCTCCTTCAAATTTAGATAAGGTGTCGAGTATAAGCTTTAAAGATGGGTTCCCTTATTTTCATTTATGAAAATGAAAATACTTATATCACTAGAAAGTAGGGGTGTTCTAATGACTAATGAAAAATACCAGTTTGTTTCACATGTCCATAATTAATTCATAATTAGCTAAATTAGAAGAGAATTATCAGCAGAATTCCAATTTCTTGGAAGTCTGAATATTTTTGTCACTAACAGGCCTATTCAATCATATCTTTCAGGTAACTTTCTAAAATTATAGGACCCATTGGCATAAAGATGAACTAAAGAGACTAATTATCAGTCAGTGCTGATCTGTCTATGCTTAATCCAACATTTTAATTATACAGCATCAACATTAATAGACTAAATCTTGCATGAGAGAGACATGGTAAAAACAATCCAATGATGGCAATACCATGAAGAGTCATCTAGCGGAAAAGTAAGGCGTAAGGTATATTCTTTAACGCAGAGCTTGGCCTTCATAACTGGTAAGCCACTTAATATCTTTAAGCTATTTCTTCTCTGAAACAGAAATACAAACCTTCACAGTCATCCCCTTTTAAAGCAGCTGACACCAGACTTCCATACAACACAGCTGATAGACTAAAAACTGTCACCAACAAATTCATTTTGACCGGAATTTCACTTTTCTTTGACTTAAAAACTTGATAGTTAAGAGAAATATACTTTAAAACTTATCTCAGTTGTTAGAAAATAGTCAAATGCAAGGTTTGTCAATTCAATAATTTAATCAGAACGCTATCTGCTCGAGTTTTCTGATGACTTTCGTTGATCAAATTGCGATGTGATTTCTTTCCCTGAAAGGTAAACGTGGTTTCTGGTCAGAGTGTACAGTTGGCGAAAAATGATTGGTTGGTCTACATCTAAAAATAAATATGTCTACGTCATTGGGGAAACCGGAAGCCAAAGGCCGGTTAAACGACGGAAGTTGATTTACGCGCCTCAGATACTACATTTTTCCAAAATGGCAGCCTTTGGAATCCATTTCGGCACGTGTTCCGCTTGTTTAGCTGTTTATAAGGTAACATTTTTATAGAATTAGGCTTAAATAATGTCAAACCACTATCTGAACACCTAGTCACTCTTTCTTCAAAGATCTTAAAAGCTCTTGAAAAATACCAGAACAAGTTGTACGTAAACAAACAGTTACCTACTTCTGTCTTTCCTCGGTAGGTCCTCAGCCTACTGAGACTTAGGAGGCTGGGGGCTCAACCAGAGAGTAAGGAGAGGATCTTCCTTTATTGAGCTTATATAAAGTCTTACCAGCAATTTAATGGGACATGCGCGCATTTTATGGGGCTCATTAGAGTCTGGAATATTTATAAATAGTCTGCAGAAGTAGTGGAAATGTTCCTTTAAGTTTAATACAAAACCTCAATTTTTTTTTTTTAATTTTTCAATGAGATGTGTTTATGAGATGTGTTTAATTTTTGATTGCTAAATTCTGAAATTCGACATGTAATGACACCCTCATCGGTAATTTTAGATTATGTTATAGGTGAAGGAAGGTCTTGCTTAAATATGCAGCATTTTTTTAATGATAATTCCATAGAAATGATAATTTTTTTTAGGATGGTCAAACAGATGTGATAGCCAATGATCTAGGTGATAGAGTGACACCATGTGTTGTAGCCTTTACAGAATTCGAACAGGTAACAGAAAACTCTGAATGTCATTTTAAAGGGATACTACGTCTTAGCATGAACATAAAATTTTAATTTTGTTCAAATTTGGCCAATAACAGTATATATCCATCAGTGGACTTACCTGGTGCCCTAACTATACATCAAAATCCCTCTATAATCTGATATATCCACAAAATCAAGTAATTAATTATAAAACGCTTAATACATCCATTAAGCGATTTTCAAATCATGAGTCTAGGAAATCCCTAGTAATTTTCAAGGGGAAGTAACTCTCAAGTGGGGTTTCCCGCATCCTTGAACTCTACTCTTGAATTGACCTCGACATTGTCATATTTTGAAGACGGAATAATGATGCCTCGTAGGAGATTAAGCGACTCCGCGAAAAAGCAATTCATATAATTTAGAATGAATACTCCACCACTGACACAATTGTCAACGAATATTAATCATTGGCAAAGTATTTTGTATACACCGGAAGATAATTATTTCCTGTTTTAGCGTTGATTACCCAGACTCTTTTTTTCTCAAACTGGACAGACTTGTCGCTTGCTCACTTTTTTAAAAAATTCTGATTATAGTTTTGTTGTCGCTTTTTCAAACTTGATAAAGTGTGGGATGCATACTTATTTAACCAATGGTCACTATTAAACACAAATATTAGCCACAGGACGAGTGTATTCTAAGACGTAGTATCACTTTAAGAGAGGTATAAAAATCAGAATACGCCATTGGGTAAACTTGGCAATAGCCTGCAACACTTTCAAGTGTGCCTACTTTATGATGTAGTTTTATATTATATTACTATATTTATATTACTTTTCATGAAAGTGAATTAAATCATAAGTAGTATGAGGATTTCACTTTTAATTGATTGTTATGTATTTCAGTCAGTGGGTGCTGCTGCAAAACAAGGCATCATACGTAATGCCCAGAATACTATTTGTCATGTTAAACAAGTTATTGGTAAAGATTTTAATGACCCTAGTATTCAAGACTACATGAAGACATGGCCTGTTACAGTAAGTATAATCTAAAACGTCTGCCTCTGTCCAAGACTCTGATAGCCATTCTAACAGTTTTGTCAGAAACCCCCTCACCTTTGGAGGTGCTGAAAATATTTGTAAAATGTGGCCAAGCTTTTCTGACACTACTGCGGCCCACCATTGTCAAAAAAAGCTATCAGAGGAGAGAATAGAGGCAGATGTTTTTCTAGAAAGAATTTTTTATAATTTGATAATGCTTTTCATAAGACTGTATACTTAGCATGTGCTGTTTAAATTTGCAATGGCTTTCTTTATGTATTTTGACCAATTAGATGTGATGTTTCTGATATAGCATTTAAACTAACCTTTGTTTGAAAATGGTTATTTATGTTATGTTTTTTTTCTAGGTAACAAATAATAATGATTTGTGTAAATTTGATGTTGAATATCAAAATAAACCAGCTTCTTTCTCTCCTGTAGAAATAGCTACTGTTATTTATTCCAAAGTTTTAGGTTAGTAAGATCATTATGTTTTAATTATTTTCTTATAATAAATATTGTATTAACATAGGTCAGTATTAGAACCAATACACCAAAGTGACATGATCCTGTCTAACATGCAGTCCTTTAAGACAATAGAAGAATGTACTCTTATTTCATGTCCATTCTAAGAGGTAGTATTCTTATAATTTTTTAGAGACTGCAGAGAGTCATGGTGGTCGAGGAATTAAAGATGCTGTTTTAGCAGTTCCTTCAAATTTCACTGTCCATCAACGAGAACAAATCAGGTTAGATTTAATTATCTATATAGTTTAGTTTGTAGGTAAGTCGACAAAGTTTAGATTGTTTAGATTATTGAAGTAATTGTGCTGCCTGTTTCGAAGAACAAAGAAACTATCATTTTGTACAAGGTTTAAAACTTAGTTCCTGGTCCTTGGCTCAAAATTGAAATTGAACTTTCCCAGATGATGCGTTCCCATTAACAGCTGTGTCAATGAAAGATGTCTTATTCAAGCTCACCAGACTTTCACACTCTGACAGACCAGTTATTTGATCTCTCCAAGCATGTAAAGATGTAATATATTGATATTTACAGTGAAGCTGCCAGTAAAGCAGGATTCAATGTATTAAGATTAATCAATGAATCAGCTGCAGCAGCTTTAGCTTATGATATTGGTCAAACAGATCCTAATGATGAATGGTAAGTTCTATTAAAATCTTCCTAAATATCACCATGTCAAAAACCTTGTTTGAATATGAACAAATTGCTAATGAATGCCAAATTTTGACCGCAGGTAGGGGATAGGTAGGCCATTTTTTCTGACCAATTATACTTTAGCCTCAGAAACAAGATTTTTCTTTAGTTAAGCCAATCAGTAATAGTGATCACAGCTCACCATCATAATTTGAGCCTTCTAATCTATGTGTGTCCAGAATTAGCTGTTTTTGAATGTTAAAATGACAACTTGTCAATTTTGGATGCTCTGTGATATGTAGAAAAGACATATATAGAAATAGTGAGTAAAATTCCTAGATTGCAGGAATTATGCAACTTTTGTACATTTCTAGTCCTGAAGACTATTTACATTTATTCAACATTCAAATCAACTCCCAAAGAAATGCCGCAGCTGTCCCTTTAATTAAAACATGAAAGGCCAGTATGACATGACCATGACACAAGTTTTTCAAGTTTACCCTGAAAGAGTTACTGCGCATTGCCATTGAAATATAGAGGTTTGATACATGTTATTTGTATTGTTTCAGTAATGTAATGGTATTACGAGTTGGAGGAACATCAACTGATGTATCTATTATACATATTAACAGAGGAATGTATAAAGTTATAAAAACTCTCACTCTAGAGAAATATGGTGGAGAAAATTTTACTGATGTTTTAACTAAAAATCTAGTCTCCGAATTTAAAAGGTACTGTCTCCCTTAACATTTGTATGGTTTTCTTTGGTTGGTCTATATATGAACTTGCTGCTCTGGAAAAGCTTAAAACTTTAGTTAGAGCAACAATCAGCATTATTGAAGGCTGATATCAGTTATAAGACGCATAGTTTTAGTAGAATCACAATAACCACAGACGTTCTGATTAAAATATGAATG